ACACACTGTATACCCATATTTTATTCAAATTGGCTCACTCTTTATAAAGATATTGGTATTCTTAGACAAAAGGGGTATGTCACATTTTTGCTGTAATTTGTTTTTTATTTTTGTCAATGAAATTTAAAATTTTTGGTTGGGAATACCTTTGAACCTACAGTGATAATTTGGGGAAGTAAAAAAGGCTAATTTTGGTTCCACTTGCCCATTTCTAGGTGGTTGCTAGGGAAATAATGTGACATCACAATGCTCATTGGGCAGAAATATATTGCTTTTAATAAAATAACTTTTCTGTAGCTCAAGTGAGTGCCTACGATGTACGAAATGCTAAGAATTACATGTACAGTATATTGGCTAGAATAGCTAATTTTTGGCTATATTTCTTCGTTGCTATGTTGTTGCTAGGGAAATTATATAATAATACAATGCCCTCAATGCCACTTGTTCATAATTGAATAAGTAACAACTATAAAAGACAATATCTTAACCTTAATTCAATGTTAGAGATATGTAATGTGTGATTAAACTTTGTAAATATGTCCAAAATTATTAATTTCGGTAACTTTTTGCCTATCACTAGGTGAAATACTGTTAAACCACAATGCCCATGGCAACATTTTACAATGATATTTGTAAGCTTAGTATTCCAGAAGCTTAGCTGAGTGTTTATGCTGCATATCTTATGAATAAAATATTAAAGTAGTATGTTCTAAAAATTGAAAAGAATTTTGGAATTTGTTTTTTTAATTCATCAAAAAGTGTCAAAAAGCTGATTTTTTCCAAATATTTTGGACAAGTTTGCTCGCCTCCTGTTCTAACATTTTTCAAATTCCCAGATATTTTATTGCAGTTCCTAGAAGACCTATATACCCGCTTTCATATGAACCCAATCCCGTTTTAAGAGCCCTTTGTAAGCGTGCATAATATCAACTTAAATATGGGTGCCATTTTCATTGAAAATCAACATCACCACTCTGAGCAGGCCTGGTTACCATAGCAACCAATGTGACGTCATAATAACACTACGGAACAATTAAGTTTTATTGGTACTATGTATATGCAAAGTATGAAGGATTAACAATGAGAGACTTATCAGTAAGAGTAATTGCAAAAATGCTATTATTTGCCATATTTTCTGCAAATTCATTTGTCTTATTATGGGTTGTATGGTATGTTGCTTAGCAACGCTCCCCAATAACAATAAGTTGATTTCAAGAACAATGATGTGCATCAGGAATGTCCTAATTAATCATGCTTTGATATTCCATAGTTATTTCTGATATTCCTGACATGTCATGTGGCAGCCCCTACCTGATTTTGCCTGATTTTTACAGGCAGGCCCTCTTAATATGATCTGTTTAGATTATAGATACAACATTTTATTACTTTGGAAACAAATTGATCAAATCCAATCCAATCCTTCTTGGAGTAAAAGAAAGAAGCGTGCCTGCAATAATCAAGGTCACAAATTTGTCAAATTCCTTTTAAATACGATAGATTTTGACAGCAAAAAAAACAGAGATTTAACGGGAGTTATACCAAGAATATGGGCGATTTTACAGGAGTTATACCAGAAAAAAGGGAGATTTTACGGGAGTTATACCAGAATACGGGAGATTTTACGGGAGATTTCAGCAAAAATATGGGAGATTTTACGGCCATATTTTTTAAAAAAATTACGGGAGATTTTAGTAGAAATATGGTACGGGAGTTTACGAGAGTTTTTACGGGAGAAAACGGTACGGGAGTTTAGTATTTTTTACGGAAAAACAAAAAATTTACGGGAGATTCCCGTAAAAAACGGGAGGTTGGCAAGTCTGCATATTGTAAAATAGTCATTTCTCAAACAATTTGTTGATTATTTGGGACATATGTTGGATGGAGGTGAAATTCATCCGAACAAGAAAATATTGATGCTCTTTTGAGCGTGCCAGCTCAAAGCATTGTACTGGGACTCAATGTCTTTCTGGATATGATTGGTGGTTCAGTAAAAATTGCTAGTCCTTGTAACCATTGAGTAACCTTCTGAGGAAAAATTTACAAATGGTGACACTTGGAAAAGAGAAACTAGATTTTGAATATGTAAGAAATTCTTTCAGAGAAGCCAGTTGTTTTACCCCTATGATGATCCTTGAAGAAACCAATCAAAGTAGCCGCAGAAAACCTGGTGTCGGACTCAATTCCTAAAGTTGAACATGAAGAGTCAAATAGTAGTGGTGCATATCGCAAAGGAAACAGAGTAAAAAATTACTGCTGGGCACAACCATCATGGATCACACAAATATGGATGTGATAAACTACTAAGGGTGGCCCCTAGGTGAGGACAGCAGATTAGACAAACCCTAATGCCGATGGCACACAAACTCCTGTGCAGTGATATATCACTGCAGCGGGCAGGTATCTCACCGTAAGCATGGTAACTTCGTAATAAACAACTGACGTGATTGGTTCTAGTCCCATGCTCAGGTCGCGTGATTGCAATTTCATTGGTTGAATTGCGCGTATTAACTAATAAACAACACGTGCGGTAAACTATTATAAACACAAATTTTACTCAGATTTCCTTCCGCGGTGATTTCTTCTCATATTTCAATAATTTTGAAATATTTTGACAAAATAATATTTGAGGAACATTCAAGAATACATATTTTATAAGTTGTGTGAAAATTGACCACATATATGATGAAAAGGGGAACTATTTTCCCCAAATTTGGGGGATTTTCTTCATCTGCCCGCCGCAGTGTCTATACCGAGACATTGTATGGGAGTTCGGATGGCACAATGATGTTCCAAGTGTGCATCTGTGGAGACCATTCTTCTCATATAATTATCTATGCAGACCATGACCAACGGCTTAGATTGAGGCAACAGATTCAGAGGCAGAATGATATGAACAACAATAGACAATAGATCTAAATGAAGATCAAAACGATTCCATATCTAAACAACTGAGAACATGTGAATACATAGCAAGAAATTGTTTGGCGATGCAACATTTTTATCTAATATTCTAACAAGGTAGAGCAGAGCCTACAGCCTACAGTCTCAAAATTTTATCAAGTTATCATTGCCATATTTTCTAGTTTTGAAAGAGACTCTGGAGTCGGGGCTCCCATCTCCTCTTACTTACCTTCTAAATCTAGAAATTCCTGTAATCATAAATGGTATATCATCCCAAATAGTCAATGCCCTGAGAATGGTTGACTTTTTGAAAGTATTCCTAAATACCTCAGAGCACCTAATCATGGGTCACCAATGGTAACAGCAGCCCCCAATGTCCTTGACCTAAGGTCACTTAATCATTGGTCACCAAAAGTCAAAGCAGCCCAACCTTATATCACCAAAGACCTTGAATGACCTTGACCTATAATGTTGATCTTGAGCTCAGGTCACCTAATCATAGGTCGTCAAGGGTCACAGCACAGACCAAAGGTCTTAAAAAGCCAAATACCTAGATATTCACCTTTGACCTGGGAATGACCTTGACCTCTGACCTTTGTAGAATGCCCTCCGCCCCCTTGGTTTGTTGACCAAGTATAAGTGCCCAAGTGCCTCAAACAGTCTAGGGCAGGCAGGCAGACAGACATCTGTTATAGTAAGAAGATTGTGTCCCAATAGTCAAAATGGGGTAGTATATAAATGAATTACACAGGATGTGTAAAAAAACTTAACAAACAGTTATCTTGTAAAACCACAAAACCAGTGATGACTACATCAATTTCATTCAATGTACCATGAAGCTACGTGCCTCCTCTGAAATGGCATGTCATTCATTCACATGTGATCATGGTTGGGCGAAAAATCATTCCTTTTACAAAGTTGGCTCTGGACCAAAGGACGGGTGTCATTAAGGCCCCTTTTTAGCCTCCAAAGGTATCTGATAATAATGCATATCATATTGAAGATAAAACATTTTTGCTTTATAAAAATACAATTTCAGCGAATTTTGACCGTTGATGTTCACACAACAGTCATTTAAAGATCATATACCATTTTTGGTGTTTTTACAAAAAATTCTTTATTTATTGTTGTCTAAGTAAATAATGTATAAACATAAACCAATTTAAATACTAAAGAAAAGAGACGATTAAAACGATTTTCATGGAAAAGCACATAGGGCAATATTGGCAAAATGCAAGTGCTATAGGTTCTGGGCTAGCAATGGGTACATTTCGACTGTGACTCTAATGGATTACTATGGACTTTTATCAACATCACAGGGCAACATTTAAGCAACTTAAATACAAGGAAAATCAAAGATTTCCTCACATTTCTAAAACGAGGAAAAAAGCATGAATTCAAGGAAAGGAAATGATGGCCTGTGCCAAATTATAACATATGAGAAAGTTGTGGCACAGTAAAGGATATGTATATATCATATGATTTTAAATGATTTCATCTTTATCTCTGAGTTGATATCAATATCTTGCTTAGTTAGCATAGCAAATTAGATATTTTTTATCAATGAGTGGATTAACACAATATCACAAAAATTCATAGGATGTTCTATTTATCCCATAGTTCACCTATAAAACTAAACAAAACATCTCAAAACAACATCCATTCATCCCCGTGATGTCATGAAATCACTATGTAACAAAACACATCATATTAGTGGTAGTTTTCAAATCCCTGGCAAAAGGTGATATCTGTGAAATATGATAAATATGTTTTCATGTTACCTAACAGAGCAGAATAGAGCTCAACTATGGGAAAAAGAATAACAAATAGGTAAATAAGTGAATTACCACTCCAAAAATATTAAATAATTAATAATATCTAAAAAATATTGAATATAAGATTCAAAAAGTAGCAACTCATGTCTCACATACCCAAACCCCAGATCCTCGATCGATGTCATATATTTCGATAATGACAATTATCTTATTTATAGCACTATGCTTCATCTTCTTTTGTAGTTTGAATGGGCGGTCCTTCGGATCTAGCCAATCCACCAATCATAATAATTCACAGATTTAGTTCATTATAATAATCAACTTTGTAGATAGCCCTCCCTTGAAGGGATACATTTTACATACTGCTTATTAGATGAGAACACGTGTATTTATATATATATCTGATAGTGATACGTTTTCTCAATATTAACTGTGTTCTATGATAAATGTAACATAAATATTATAATTTAAAATATTATAATAAAATATAAAAATATTGGACAGAAAATTTGGAATACATTACAATTGGACCATTTGTATCGGACAAAGCAAGGAGCTTAAATAATCTGTTCACACGTCTAGTGAAACCAGCGGTGAGTTTTATAGTTTAAGTAAACCTTTTCAACCTACAGAACTATTAACTTATGATGGAAAAATTGCTAATTTTCGGCCATTCTTTGATACATTGGCTAGATGACTTCCAAAAGGCACATATGAACAATTTAGAACTTAATTCTTGCGAATTTGAAATAAATTATGTGGGAATTAGAGGCGGACAATTTAAATGGAACGAGAAGATGGACAAGAAGTATCAGGAAAAAAGTTTGTTTTCTTATTTAACCGAAGCGGTTAATGATTTCAAGCCTACGATGGTTTTTCTTCAATTAGGTGGAAATGACCTTGATGTCAAGTTTCCAGATTCTGATCAAGTTGTAACGGCGATATTTAGTTTTGCTAACTATTTGATTTTCGGAATGGACGTACAGACAGTTGTCATCGGACATGTATTTCGCCGTTTGAAGCCTCGTTATATGCATTATAATGCCACGATTGAAGCTGTAAATAATACATTGACTGAAAAAGCGTCTTCGAGCAATAACATATACATTATGCCCAATAAAGGGTTTAAAGTTGATGCCGAGGCGAAATATTACAGAGACGGGATACATTTGTCTCACAGTGGCAATGTTTGCTTTGCAAACAATATTCGCAGAAAAGAAGTGTTCGCAAGAGATCATTCTTACGCGGTATGTAAATATTATTTTGTTCTGTAGGTTGCAAAAGATGTATTTCGATATAATTTTTCAATTTTATACTAATGCCATTTTGAAAGTTTTTAACAGCTTGAAATCATAATTATGTTTATGCATTAATTAATATATTAATCAGATTTAACATATTTTGCCATTTAACCCTTGTAAGGGTTCAATGTGATATTTGAGAAATGGTAAACGTTTTGCAGTTATATTACCTCTTCATTTCACAGTAACCTTTTTGGCCAATTGTTATATTTGCCAATATGTTTGTTGATTATGTACCATAAAAACGTTGTATGCGTATTTATGAAACGGATTCATGACACGTTGCCATCGCACTTATTATGGTCATACTGGCGTTTTGCCTAATTTTGGTTGATTTAAAAATATTTTGTAATTTGCAATTACTTAATTCTGTTTTCAGTAAATACGCTTTATGTATTTATGAAACAGATTCATGACACGTTGCCATTGCACTCTATTCTGGCCGTATTTGTCATGTTGCCATTTTATTGGCTTGTTTAAAATAATTTTTATTTTGCAATTACTGTATTCTGTTTTCATAAAATATGTTTTATGATTATTTATGAAACAGATTCATGACACGTTGCCATTGCACTCTATTCTGGCCCGTATTGTCATGATGCCATTTTATTGGCTTAATTTAAAATATTTTGTAATTTGCAATTACTGTTTTCTGTTTTCAATAAATACGTTTATGAGCATTTATGAAACAGATTAATGACATGTTGCCATTGCACTCTATTCTGGCCGTTATTGTCATGTTGCCATTTTATTGGCTTAATTTGAAATACTTTGTAATTTGCAATTACTGTATTCTGTTTTCAGTAAATACGTTTTATGAGTATTTGTGAAACAGATTCATGACACGTTGCCATTGCACTCTATTCTGGCCGTTATTGTCATGTTGCCAATTTTATTGGCTTAATTTAAAATACTTTCTAATTTGCAATTACTGTATTCTGTTTTTCAGAAAATACGTTCATGAGTATTTATAAAACAGAATAATGACACGTTGCCATTGCACTCTATTCTGGCTGTTATTGTCATGTTGCCATTTTAATGGCTTATTTTAAAAATATTTCAATAGATACCTCTTATGAATGAAACATATTCGTGACTATATTTTTGTCTCTAATTTATTCGGTCAAATTTTGTTGGGTTACACCTATATTTACTTCCAGGAAGGCCATGCCCAAGGCAAAGGACAAGAGAAAAAGCACCGGGGCAGCGGGGAAGAAAAGGAAAAACCCTGAAAGTGAAACAGATTCAGATGTGAGAAAAAGAAAATCGTTAAATGGGGAGGATAAAGCTGATATTGTCAACGCGGTTGTTGACCAATTAAAAGACGTTTTTCAACAGCAGCAGCAACAGCAACAACAACAACAACAAATAGACCAAGACCAGTTACCTGGTACAAGTGCGGGAGCAAAACCCAACTATGCAGAGTACGCTCGAGGCGCTCCTAAATAAAGGTGAGTCCTTATCTGCAAGTCAAAACGACCCACAAGACCTAATTCATATCAAATCAGGAATTCCATTACACTCTGGCGTTGATAAAAAGATTCTTAAAATGATCATTTCAGATGAGTACTTCGATTTCGCTCATTTACTTTCAAGATTTTCAAAAGTCGAGGGTTCTATGCATTTTACCTTTAAAAAGAACTCAACATCAACAATTTCAGTTAACCCTAACAAGCCTAAAGTTGATGTTCGGAACATTGAACAGTGGACGTCGGCTTTCCACATTTTCGTGTCCGTTTATTCCAAAGCATATCCTGCAAGTGTCCCTGCCTTAATGAAATACGCCGAGGAAGTCCGTGAATTATCGGAAGCAGAATCCTTTCAGGCTGCAAAACTCTATGATCAGAATTTCAGATATCATAAAAAATCCAGCAGTTGAATTGGGATGCAAGATGCGAGGAATTATATTCACGGTCTATAAGAGAGGCCAAAAGAACTCCAAATATTCAATCAAAACCGGGTTTCCGAAAGAATAATTTTCGTGAAAAACGTGAACAACAGAGCAATCTCATGCACGATAACATCCCATGGGGATATTGCTTCAATCTTAACAGAGAAGGAACAAAAAAAAAAAAAAAAAAAAACAGAGAAGGAAATTGTGAAAAAACCAACTGTGTACATGAACATAAATGCGCAGAATGCTTCACTGTCTATGCCACACCTGTCACACCTTCTCCCAATAGCCCCTATGCCCCTTGCACTGACTTTTGCAATGTTTAAAACTTGTGTCCGAGCTGAATTTTGCCCCATTTTGCAAGATTAATGATTATTCGGCCAGAGATGACTCCCTGTGAATGAATGATATTCCATTGCAAAGAGGACTAAATTGGCTTTTTGGTACATTGAATGAAAAGGATGCAGTCAGCATTGGTTTTATGTTTTCTTCCAATATTGCATTGGGCTCTGACTGACTTTTGCGATGTTTATAACTTGGCCCCAAGCTAATTTTGGCCTACTTTGCAAATGGAATGAATACAATTTGGATGGGTATAGGATGTATTCTTGCAAGAGTATGAGTATGAACACTTCACTGTCTATGCCGCACCTGTCACACCTTTTCCCAATAGCCCCTATGCCCCTTGCACTGACTTTTGCAATGTTTAAAACTTGTGTCCGAGCTGAATTTTGCCCCATTTTGCAAAATTAATGATTATTCGGCCAGAGATGACTCCCTGTGAATGAATGATATTCCATTGCAAAGAGGACTAAATTGGCTTTTTGGTACATTGAATGAAAAGGATGCAGTCAGCATTGGTTTTATGTTTTCTTCCAATATTGCATTGGGCTCTGACTGACTTTTTGCGATGTTTATAACTTGGCCCCAAGCTAATTTTAGCCTACTTTGCAAATGGAATGATTACTCGCCCAACCATGACCAAATTTCAATGAATGATATATCATTGTAAAGAGGAGACACATGGCTTTATGGTACATTGAATGAAATCAATGCTGTTATCACTGGTTTTGTGCTTTTCCGAGATAACAATCTGTTGCGTTTTTTTTTTATAAGCACTGTATATTTGGGATGAAATAATATGAGATTCATTTCTACAAGAGGATGAAATGAATGTGAACTTGTATATTTAACTAGGCCTATACTCCTTTTCTGAATAAATAGAACAACATTTAACAACTTTTTTCTGGACTCACTTATTATGTAAGAATGAATTGTATTTTTTTGTGTTAAAAAAAAGGCAACCCGAAGAAATCGCTATATCTTGGAAAATACTAATGCAATTATGTTCATTTTTTCAGGAAAGAAAGAAGAGACTATGTATGTATACCTCCTGTAGTTGGTAAGTTATAAAACTTGATGCCTTAGACACCTGCTCAAAAGACATTAGTATTGGAAAGATACGAATAACGCAGTCAGGGGTGACTGCCACTACAATAAAACTGAATAACCTTCTAATCATAGTGTTTTAGCTCTTCAAATTTGGCACAAATCATCTTCATTCAAAGTATGGTAAATCTGTAGAGTGAAATCAAAATCACTCCAGGGACTTTACAGATATGGTCGAAATGCGTTCAAAACGCAGTCAAACGCCCTAGTTCAGGCAGACAGGAAGAAGGTATTTTGACCATGACTGTTAAGTCCCTGGAGTGATTTTGATGACACTCCACAAATTCACCACACATTGAATGAGGATAATTTGTGCCAAATCTTAAGTGCCAAAACACTATGGTTGGAAAGTTATTCAGTTTTATTGCTGTGGCAGTCTGAGATTGAAAATTATGTCAAGTTTAGTCCTCAGCCTCTCATAACCGAACTTCGAGGTAATTGTGTTGTTACTGCAAAAACCTCTATTTCTTCATCACAAATCGACCATCTTTTGCATCTGTCAAAACCCCTCATTTCATGTTAATTTTCAGACTTTTGCTTGTGCCATCATTAAATATATATATATTCCACTTGTTATTCAGAATATTTTAAGAACTTTTCATGAGGTTTTTTATTTTCACACTTTTGAAAAAATGACTAAGTCAGAGAATGGCCTCTTAATGGCCTGTCCCCTTTCAGAAATTGCAAGTCAGTACAAGGGCTAAGTGCTAATGGAGCTTATATCTTGACCTTAATAAGAAATATGCTACTGGTGTGAAGTTGTTTGAGAATAATGCAATATATTTAGATAGCCAAGAAGGATATGGGGGCTACTTGGATGAAATGATCACTGCTCTAAGAGTTGTTTACAGTAGGAACTAAGAATGATCTCATATCTCACTCAAATGATTTGTTTGAATTTTTTGTTCCAAAAAGCTGATAGTGGATGGACTTTTTAAAGTAATAGGAAGACCTAAAATTTTGAAAAATATTAAAAATTCATGATATAAGTGATTCCTTATTAAAAAATAAATGAAAATAAATTCTAACCAGTTTCTGCCCATCAATCGGCTTTTATAAGCAATTTATTAATAAAAATTAATACAATGCCATCCCAAGCATCAACCCCTCCCTTCCCTTTAATACACTGCACTAACATTGCTGCTCAATGAGAAAAACATTGCTTAACATTGCATCATCACTGTATATTCAGAGGATGTTTAATATACCTTAAAGTGAAATAACTCCATGAGTTCCCAGAAGAACTTCAGCCAGGAAATGGCACAACTTTGTCATTCAAAAACAAATATAAAATGGGATCATCCCGTGGAGGGAGCAATTTGGGTGAAGGCTCTAGTATTTAGCTAAACATTCAACATACCCATGTCTGCGGCTTTGCAGAACTGCATTATAAGCCACAAGTAAACAAGTTTGTAAGAAGAAAGTTGGCAATAAATTTGTTTGCTACAAGCAAAATAATAATGTTTATACAAGATAATAGATATAATGGTGGAAGAAAAACCTACACACTTGCACACCTTTTAATAAAAAACTGAAGTGAGCTTTAAAATTTTGATATTACCATTTTTTGACAAGCTGCTGTTCCCATACTAAAAATAATGAAAATTTGTCTTGCTGGCTTATAAATTTGTTGTAATCAAAATTTAGAAAAGTGAGTGATTCTTCTAAGTCTTGAAGATATTGAGATCTTAGGTTACAGGAAAACATAACACGTTTCATTGATACAGCCACATTTACATGTTGGGGGTGATACATTGGTAAAGTTGTGAGTGAAAGATCAGATCACAGCGCACCTTATTCAGAGAAATTTCTTGGCTCCTTGCTAGGGAAATCTCAGAAGAACTAATGATGTTGGTTGTCTGTAATGTTCTTTTTAGATCAGGATTAAAATTGTTTAAGTTTGGTGATTCCTTGCGGTCAGGTGGAAGAGAATCCCAGGCCATGATTGATTTAAAGATGCACGATCTATTTCAAAATGTTGAGATCTGTTAATCACAGCTTTTTTGTGTTACTTATGTATGATTTCTACAGTATTGATTGAAAATACTCAAAACATAGGATAGAAGCGTGTTATTATAAACTCAGTACATTAAGATAAGTCTATGTATTTGTCTTTAATCAGATAATGATGGCCACCTTAAGCAGTTTAAGACTTTTGTTGAAGAAGTTCCATGTAGTACACCCGAGCAAATTCAGGCTACTTTGTAGTCTAGTTGATCCATGAGTTTCAGTTTTGTAATATTTCCACAACGTATTTGTCTTTAATCAGATAATGATGGCCAATTTAGCAGTTTAAGACTTTTGTTGAAGAAGTTCCATGTGGTACACCTGAGCAAATACAGGCTGCTTTGTAGTATAATTGATCAATGAGTTTCAATTTTGTAATATTTGCACAACCATAAAGGATGTCACAATAATCAAAAAAAATAATTGGGAGTATGAAAGATTTGAAAATTAATTCTAGGTGTTTTCCAATTGATGTTTTGCTTATTAATTTAAGTGAATTTAAGAGTTTGTCAATCCTTTTGGTGAGCTCTGTATGGTTAAAAATATATGTTTATATGTTGGTCAAGTTGGGTATTTATTTAGAATTAAACCTAAATGTTTATGATGATCAACACACGGTAAAGTGTCGTTTCCAATATTAAGGTCAAGAACTCTGAATTCACATTTTCTTGGGTTTGAGAATACAATGTCTTTACTTTTGGTTCCCTTGAAGTTCATTTTCCATTTCTGAGACCATTGAAAAATTGCATTGAGAAGGAATGATTCAAAAATGTTGACCTTTTCTGGTACAGTGTATTTCTTTATAGGGCTTTATTTTCATTGAAATCTTTAAAACATTAAGAAATAATGTTATTTTACGGGAGATGAACTTAAGTTTCCCAACCTAAGTTAGTGAAATGAAAAAAAAATGAAGTGACACCAAACATTTCCCTCTTCAATTTTTCTAGCAAATAAATGTTTAAAGGAACATAGTCATATTCATCAATTTTGAGCGTCTTAAATTCAAGACGAAATATTTGTGTATCCCTTTAATATTGCTCAGATTTGAATCCAATAAAACAACAAATAGTGGCATACAGATCCTAAAAATAAAAATAATAACAAATAAAAAAAATAAATAAAAATGAGCTAAAAACACCTCAATAGAATGAAATATTTGAACAACCGGGCGATGCACAACAATTAGCACAGCCGCCAATGCAATCACCTATTCCGATGCTGGAGCAGCCCACAATACCAGCAAATGCGCCAAACCATTCAGAATTGGACAGATCACCTCCAATTAGGGATCTCATAAACATGCAACCCCATTTTGTTAATATGTTTTTGGATCATCAAGCTCATGGAGATGAAGCTATTTCTTCAGCCGTATCACCACTTAACTCAAAGATTAGTGGCCTAAAACAGTAAAACACACTTTTTATTCAAATGTAAACAATTTGAGTATATCAGAAAATCTCATTTTGAAAAACTAGAAAACCTAAGTAGTATTTATAATAAAAACATGAATGACCATCAAAAGACAATTTTTCTATTGACGAGTGAGGGAACATATTAAAAGAATCTGCTGACATGATAATTATCTAATGATTGATTGGTATAGACAGGATTTTTATATCAAAGTAACATTTTATATGTCATTTGAAGATTCTATTTACTTTATTGCTATTTTTACTGTTATTGAAAAATGTATGTTGGATATACGTTTGGCCCTAAAAGGTCATCAGTGCAAATAAAATCCTATTACATATGAAGTTATACATCATACTAAGTAATTTTTTCTCTTAAATGCCAAGCGAGAATGTAAGGTTAGGATAAATTATTAATTATGGTATATAAACCTACCAGAATACACTCAACATGATTTTTTGAAGTGTTACAAACTTCTTTTACACAATATTTTGTAGGAAATAAGCCAAAATGGAACATACATACAAGCTCGATTACTTATTTTTTAAAATATGTTCTTTTAGCGATATCTTTTAGGTGATTTTGTAGAAAATATTTTGCACTGTGTAAAAAGAATCTAAGCCCAGGACTTGATGCACTGTGGCTGATTTATTCCATTCAAACATTATTTCCAAATTTCCACATGCGATGCCTTTTCTTCACCTTTTTGAGAAATGATTCAGTCCACGTTGCACTGAGTCAAAGGCTTAAATCCTCAAACCATATACTAGTAAGCAGTTGATTTTATCTTTGTAAAGTAAGTTCAACACAATTTAGCAGTTTGATTTTAATGGTAACTTGTTGCCATAGCAACATCAACAAAATAAAGAAGCGATCGATTAAAATTGTTAAAATATGATTATAGTTGTATTGTATATGACTGATGTCACCTGGATAATTTTTTAAGTCAAAATATATTTGAACCATGCAACTTATAAGCCTTATTTAATTTCTGGCTAGCACCACCCTGTAAGTTCCTGTCTCATCCTATTAGCTTGTACTTGCTTCCTTTAACTTTCAGCAGATTGTCATCATGTAAGGCAGTATTGCAGTATTGCTGCAATGATTACCTCAAATAAAAATAAGTATATCTAGAAGATGTCTGTCTAAATGTGGGCATTTGTAAAGGGATGTACAAGAGGCTGCAGAATTACCAGCAGTGAAGAGATCCTTAAGATTTGGAAGAATGCTGTGAAGTTGTTCTCTCACTCAAATATGGCCATGCACTAATTGAACCAGTGACGTTGAATGTCAGAAAGGCCTGATACAGTTACTTCATCTGCTGTAGTATCATTCAAAATGTCAAATATTTTGAAAAAAATAGCACTTGTAAATGATAAACTAATTCATGATTGCATAAAAAGGTGTAGCACCTATCTCATATTGGAGCATCTGATTGAGAACCAGGTATATGTGTACATGTACTCTGCACTCCACAATCAAGGATGCAAGAAGGTTTGAAATTCCTCATTGGTCTTGTTAAGTGACAGTTCTTAAACCTGTAAATGAAGTATTATACCCAACACAAGCAATGGTCTTTGTGTTGAAAGTTCATCTGAGTCAAGATGACAAAACAGAAGTTGATGGTCAAACTCAGGTTAAATTAACACATATTTGTCGCTGAACTAGAGAGAAGATCTTTTGGTCTTCTAGTGTAGGAAACTAGCCTCAAAGCAACAATGTTGCACACAACATTCAAAAAATGGTGAAGAACTTGATGATCAAAGTGAGAAAAAGACAAATCAAGTTTTCTCAGACTGAAATGATGATGTGAATAAATTATTTACTGATACAGCAAAAGCTTTAGCTGGAAAGGCAGATTGGTTCGCTAAGGCAGAAGCCAGAAGGAATGACCAGTCCGTGTCCATAAAATTAGAACAAGACTCAAAAGCTCAATCTGAATATTGATCTAGCAACAGAAACCCTGCAGCTCCTCTACCTTCTACAAATGGAGATCCTGATGATGACATCCCAACCATTATTCCATCATCTATAAAAAAAGAAGCTAGAAAGTGAAGAATCAACTTTTGAAGGGTTGATGGTGGTAGCAAGAAGTCGTGAAGCAAGCTTGATGATATAATTAATATTGGAGTTGATATTGAGAAAACACTTCATATCCCAGATGTAATTGAAGTAGAAGTAGACCGTTACCTTACTGACCAAAACACATTTCCAAAGGACAGAGAATTCGAAACTCACGTTTTAGCTCACATGGTGAGCTATTGCTATCACTCATTTGTTCAAGATCAAATTCTCATTTGCTTCAAAGTGATAAAATCTTTGATTCAGATTTAGATCAGATGAGTTATAATAAGTTAATATAAGTACTTGCAATAAAGTCAGCAAAAGTCAAATTCTGCAGGTCTATGTCATCAAACTAGGTCACAAAAGCCTCCAGGGCCTCCGTAAGATTGCTTGCAATCTTGATATCTAGTTATGCTCTATATTTAAGTCACTATTGTAAAGGCAGTTTCTTTTGGGCTCTCCAGGTATAAATGTTTACACAGGGCAAGGAGAAAGAGTGTCTTTGAATTTATAATTCCTTTGTGGAATGTAGGGGGTAAGTAGTCCTGCCATCTGGATGACATCAAGAGATTACTACTGGTGATTAGGAGGAGCCCACTGAGAGAAGTACATTTGGAGGACTGCAAGCCTTCAATGTCACAGGTCATAGCAAGGCCAGTCCAGGCGATGTCCAACATAATAGATAATGGAAAAGACACCATGTTTGGGGAGGGTCTCTAAGCAACTTGGTGAAACTAATGGTGAACCTGAAGAGGGATTTCAAGCTGGTTGTCTTAAATGTTGTTTTTTCACCAAATGATTCTTCTCTCTTCAAAAATATCTCTCTTGTTGTAAATGGGCTCCTGGTACTACCTCTGAGGAAACAAATCACCACAGATGAATGTTGTTTTGGCAACTATGATGAGATGGCTCATGGATGGGTTAAGGCCAGAATGGCTTGAATTTGAATCAGTAAATTTTAACTTTGAGAACAAAAATATTTTACTTCTTGGACTTTTGAGTTTTTATGTGATTGATTTATTTGTTTTCATTATCCATTGCAGAATTCAAGAGTAAAACTGAAAAAATATGTAAAGATACAACTGGATTTGAGAGCCATCTTGTTTTAGCATGTTGTTTTTGAGACATAAATGAAAAAATGAATACAAGCATTTCCTCTGAAGAAACTCTCAGAATTCTTCTTTTATGAATTTGGATGGATGTGATTTTAATTGCAGACTCGTGGTATTGATTACCAATAAGGCCTGGTATCCATAACAGTGAAAATCTCTAACATGAGATCACCTTTCATCACTTACCTTAGGCTACTGTATAAACAATCGGCAGCGGAATTATTTCAGGAAGTTTTACCTTTCTTTAATATTAAAAAATCTTGTTTGCAAAATGTGTATAAATTCATTCCTCATTCTTAACTTAAAACTGTCATACCAATCAATGATCAATTTCCTCCGTTGGATTTTCTCATTTGTTGACAATTTAGATTCTTGATTCATCACATCTTTTAACTGTTTCCAATTTTTGACATAAATAACTGGAGCTTTGTGTTTTTTAAATAGACGTAGAGAAAAAGAATGACACATGCCTTGGGTTGCGATGTCTTCAATGACAGGTACCGATCCAAGGGACATGGCTTCATAGATGCGGTAACATTCTGTGTTCTTACCTACTGGATTCAGAGTAAGATCACTAGTTTCTAGAGATTCTATATAATTATCGAGGCTCTCTGCAGTTTCATTAGGCACCCACCTGGATAAGAAAACAATTGAGAATATAAACAATTAGGTTCCAAATATAATATTGGCTGTTATTCCAATGTTACCCAGTGGAAATCCATAACCAATTACATGTACTGTAGCAAGTCTTTCACTAGTTGTATACTTGAAGAAACATCCTCAGTCTATATTTTTTCAGGATAACCAGCCAAGTTTTGTACTAAAATGATTTATTTTGGGCAATGAGAGAACATAAAATTGAGACAAAATTTACAAAGATTAACCTAGAATAACTACTTACTCATATCTAGGGACAACCTTGCAGATTTTCCTAAGCTGGTACTGATCAATGATCTCCATGAGAGTTGTTCTAGAAGAATCTGGGTACACTGTACCAAGGAAATTACATGTATACTCCCTTTCCTTTGTAACATCAACACTATCTGGGGGTATCTTTGGAAAGTCTCTATATCTAGAAGGTTAAAAAGGTAATGATACTACATCAATGTATAATTAGTTTAGTTTCCAAACAATGGTGCTGTTCATTAAAAGAAGGCAATATTAATTAGAAATCGGCAACTCCACGGAGTAGCTAATCCCAACAAAAAAAACTATATAAATCATGAATCTGTACAATCCCAATGTAATATTTACCATCTACTCTTCCCTTCAATAAATTTTTGGGATCATTGTAGTCAAATTTTCACACATGTTACATGGTAAGAAGTTATAGAGCTGATTAACTTTCCTGTAGCCAACTTGCATTCTGGTGGCCATCTTGGAAATTTCTAGATAAATCTTGTCATTGCAATTCCAAGAAAACCACTGAACAGTTTTACTTCAAATTTTCACACATGTTACATGGTAAGAAGTTATAGAGCTGATTAACTTTCCGGTAGCCATCTTGCATTCTGGCGGCCATCTTGGAAATTTCTAGATAAATCTTGTCATCGCGATTCCAGAAAAACCACTTATAACAGATTTGCTTCAAATTTTCACATATGTTACATGGTAAGAAGTTCTACAGCTGATCAACTTTTCAGTGGCCATTTTGTATTCAAGCAACCATCTTGAACGTTACATGGTAAGAAATTCTATCTGATTCTATCTTGCTTTCTGGGTCATCAAGTCCACACTGCTATGTTAGAGGTACGATATTGTTCACCATGTGCCTTGTTTACTCTTTGTTTGTACTTTATACACCATTTGGGATGTGTAATAATACTGGGAAAATCCTTTTTGTTTATAAACATACCCACCTCTCAATTACCAAAGTCCCACCCAACCTTCCCGCTATTCACTAGGGGGAATAGGGAAATTGAGGACCTCAGCACATGTACTTACTAGTTTTATACTTAGTTGGACGCGTCTAAGTTAATGTCATCAGTAAAAACCAGAGGGGTGTTACGATACTATAAGGTAGATTGCAAAGGAATCTAAGGCAATTAATTGAGAGGCGGGATGTGTAATAATACACTGAAGTTAAAGCACCTATTGAGCTTCCTGATCATTCAACCAAAAACAATGCTCGATTTGGGCCTTAAACATAATAACTATAAATCTACAAAACGCATATGGCAATACTCGGATTGTTGCACTTAATGCAGCTGTTTCTGATCATGATTGGAACAGTATGTTTCGATTTCTTTCAACCCACGACTTAGTAGAAAAGTTTACCGATGATTTATAGAGTAAACACCAAAAACAGTAATTCCAAATTGACACGGTCCACTTGAATTTAGACAGGCAAGCTGAAATAGTGCTTAATAAAACCAGATGTGATTTCATTTTTTGTTACCACAAGTTCCAGCATCAATACAATAATGTTAATCTTCAATGATTGTGCGGTTTTCGATCTCAGACAACACCTATTCTTTTCTTGCCCCCTATTACTTGATCTCAGGGAACAACTAGCACTCGACCTTGCACTGGGATACCCAATTCAACATTCACCATTATGACAAACTAAATGCAAAAGAGAAACTAGATACATTGTTATATGGTGGCTCAACATATCAAATTGAAACTAACAAGCTTATAGTCACAATAACTTCTAACTTTATTTCTTTAATTGTAGACTTATGTTTAACTTTTATATATTTGATGTGTGCAGAATATCACATGTTACTTACATGTATTGTCATGCTGACTGTTCAGCAGCCTAAAATTACTTGATTATTATGAGCCTACTAAACTCTATTTAGAAATTGTATAAATGTTTATATGTGAAAATCGACATGGGCCACTAATGCCAATGGCCTTGGTCATTGTCGGACATTGTGAAATGATAGCATTGATAAATAAAACACAACCTTAAAAAAAACCAAAAAAACCTAATATTTGAGTTATCAAAGATTATGTTTTTTATGAAAAGAAACTGCCATTTTGAAATTTAGCCACCATCTTGAAAATTCTTTCTTGAACAAATCAAGTTTGTCCCTAGGCATCATCATATAAAATGTCAACCAAATCCATTCACTGGTATTTGACTTATCAAAGATTATGTTTTTTACAAAAAAATGGCCACCATTTTAATATTTAGCGGCCATTTTGAAAATCATTTCTTCAGCGTAACTCCTTTGTCTCTAGGCATCAGAATATTAAATTTTAACCAAATCCGTCAACTAGTATTTGAGAAATCAAAGATTACATCTTTTATGAAAAATGGTGGCCATTTTGACTTAATTCCTTCTCGACCAGAGGTTCTATCACCATAAGGCATAAGCCTATAAATTTGAATCAAATGCGTCAACCGGTATTTGAGTTATCGCCCGGACAAACAAAGATAGACAGATGGACAGCTTTCCTATATTTTTGGTGTAAAATTATTCACCACTGTACATGTTTCCACCAAATGTGAAGAAAATCCGTCAATTAGTATAAGAGTTATCTTCCGGATGGACAGACCGACAGATGGACTGATTCAATATATCTCTATCGAACTATGTTCGTTGGGATAATTAGTCAATATTGCTTCTTTTATAGGGGATTTCGTCCTTTAGATCTTATAACTCCAGAAATCATGAATGTAATAGTTTGCTTATATAAAGTTTTGCATGATAAAGTATCTCGTTCAGACACATGTGTCTGAAAAATAGCAGACCCATTTAGTGCAAATTCAATGTAACAGTCAGCTTGCATAGAGGAACTAGCATTAATGGCAACAGTGACTAAGAGTACAGTATGACAATCTAATTTTAGCAAATACAATGTATATTTTGATTGTAAAATAAAGAAACATTTTCAGAAATGAACTGAATAAACTGATTATTTGTTTTTAGTAAACCTGTACCAAATAAACTAAAAAAATCAACTGAATACATTTTATCCTAGTCAGGTCTTTGTATATATATATAACATTACACTACTCACGTTGCTACTCCTAATGGCCATTGGTAGAAGGCATCATTGTCCACTTGTGGAGAATCATACACCAGAAACACCATCTTTACTAATCCTCCATTAATGATCATATACTCATTTATCCAATCATTATTACACTGTTCATTTCCAAGTAGAATTACAGCTACATTTTTCAACAGTGGAAATGTTTGAAGTTCATTCAGCCAAATTTTAGCCGCTTTTACTTTTGAGGGCTCTCTGCCATTAATTACAAGAATGAGGTTATTGGTATCTCTGGGAACTTTGTTTGGTAAAACACCAGGTCCAGTTCTGAACCTGGAATAAACATAGATAGATCCATGCAACCATGTACCTAAACATCCAATTTTGTTCATGCAAACAATGACACAAATGTAAATGGGCATTGAAGGCCCGTGGGTAGCATAATAAAATAACACAGAAAACAAAATTAAAATGTCTAAATAATATCTTCTTTTTATTTTGACCTACATTTCGGACACCATATCTCAAAAGTCGGTCAAAAAACTTCTTGATTGTAACTATTTTTATCCTGATTTGAAGTTGGGTATTGGTTTTTTGGCCCACCCTGTACAAGTTATTTGAAAGTTCTACTTCAACAAAGTGTTTAGTATTTACAGAAAATTTGACTTTTTGACGTCAAAATCAGCAATTTCTCGGAAACTGGGCGAACTTGGGAAATGGCATTGATAGGTCAAATAGGCATTATGGATATGCATAAACTAAATGTGGATATGATTCAATCCGAATAGCAGTTTTAATTTGTGTGGCCAATGTTGATGGACGGATAGACCAACGGACAGACGGACCAACGGACGGACGGATGTCTGGTCGATCCCATAGGCTCACTGTGTGAGCCAAAAACAAGGTATAACTTTAGATCAATATCCAACAGTCTAAAGTAAAAATATTGAACATAATCGCAGAAAACAATTCCTTCACCTCGAGGGACTCTGCTGGGGAGTTCATCAATCACTGTCAATATAGTTAGATTCTTGCTTTATTTTAGCAATCTTTACAGTATCTCCAATAACGATACATATCATTATTGTAAAAATAGGCTGTTACTTTCATTGCAAATAAGGCATTTTTGGCAAGTAAAATTCCCATACATGAAATTCCCGGGGATTTTTGACTTCTCTCATATATGGGCTCTCTTTGTAATGGGTTACAATGGGAATTTCAATTTCAAAAGCACCCTGGGCGCTTATTACGGTGAATACGGTAAGCCTATAAAATTTGAATCAAATCCCTTAACCAGTATTTGAGTTATTGCCCAGACAGACGGACGGACAGACGAACAGACGGATGGCTTTCCTATATCTCCCTCGAACTTCTTTCAGTGGGATAATAATTATGCACAACTCTGTTGATGCATACCAGTTATTTAAGCTAAACAAAAATAGCAAGTTTTGATTGAAATCAATCAAAAAATATCGTTACTCCACTATTATAAGGTTCTAACTACCCAAAATGGGGCAAATGCACATGAAGTAGATTCCCCATAGATTCACTATGCTCTTTTCATAAATGAATGTTTAAAAGCTGTCTCCATCTCCAACAGAAATATACAGGAGATTTCAGAGACAATTAGGTTCTATGTCCTTCATTTTATGAAAATAATTACTGCTATACAGAGGTTCAGATCCCCACTTGTAAACTCGTAATTTTACAAGTAATTTGACAAATACGAGAAATAATTTCAAAATACTTGCCATTCGTATGAGTATGGCATGATCCCGAAACTTGTAGTATTCAGATTGATTCCTCTCGCTCAACTAATTTGTTTGTGGCTTTACATCCCCTTTTAACCACATGTTTTGTCAAATATAGAGAACAGTTTTCCATAAAGTTCAAAAGCGCAAACATGATATAAACCTGGATATAACCCCCTGAGGGAAAAGTTGCCTGCAAAATCTATATTGTAAATGTTCTGCGCAATTAGCCTGTATCCCACGTATGGGTTCTGTGATCTCTCAAAACCCTTTTACCGAGCGCTGGAACCAGTTGGAGACTAAACCCCGCCCGTTTAGGGGTCTAGTTGAACCTTTGCACTAAAAAATTGAAATTTTTTTAAACATATAACCCAGAGAAATGAATCTTATTATCCTTTCTCACAGGCTGGTATCGAAAAATTTCTCCGCTGTGACGGAGCCTGCTATTTTGCATAGAAACACTAAGAAACCCACACAATTTATTTTTTTACTCATATGTTTCGCTATACCAAAGAAAATTTCTTACTCCATGCAATGGGTATATCATTTGCGGGTAACTTTAACTTTTGTTTGAAGTCCAACAACGCTAAGAGTAAAAACTATTGAAAATGGCGCCGGGGTATCATACTCCAAAATGTACCATTTCTTTTATTTCTTTTTAATGGTACAATATACAGGGTGTCCCGAAAGTATGGGCCCCCCCCCCCTAGGCAGACATACACCAATGTCCCTATAGTATGTGTCATATATCATTTTAAAGCTTGTCCAAAGTTACATTGATTTGCCAAGTATCATGGTTCAACTCACAAACGGGAAAAAGTTACACGCATTTCAAAATGTAGTGTTTTACCAAAATTAAAGTTTAGTTTTACACAAAATTAATAGTCGGCATGTCTCCCTTGGCCATGTTAACAGCAGTATTTCTTTCCAGATATGACCTTAAATGCACTTCAAATATGGGTATGGCATTTTATAATCCTCATAAAACCTTTTTAAGGCATTTTAGAAGAGTTTCCTTGGAGTATCTGCCCTTACTGACCTCTTTTTACAACTCAATATCCACCCTCTCTTTGACGATAGCACCTAATTTTTTGGTCACATTCAGGTTAGCGGTGTTTCCAGGATACTGATTTTAACTTTAATTTTGGCCAAACACTAAGTTTTGAAATGCCTGTAACTTTTTCTAATTTGTAAGTTGAACCTTGATACTTGGCAAATCAATGTAACTTTGGATAAGCTTTAAAATGATATATGACACATACTATGGGAACATTGGTGTATGTCTGCCTAGGGGGGGCCCCATACTTTCGGGACACCCTGTAGTGACACGATAATATTTACATATGTTTTCAGCATAACTCTGAAGGTACTTAATGAATATTGATGTATTGGGTATTTTTAATATTTTTTATAAAAAATAAAGTTTACATTTTTTGTCAGCTGTGACGGAGCAGTTTTAACTGTGAACTACGTTAAAAATTTAAGATTCAAATTATATCTTTTAAACGTACCCCTAGAAGAGAGAACGTCACAAATCACTTTCCTAAATTATGACAAGTAGCCTTTGGGATATCTGGGGTAATGTAAATCTGAGATATAAAAAAGACCACTCTTAGCATTTTTCAGAGGTTGGTACTGAAATCAACATGAATCAACATGGTGTAAACTCAGAATAATATTTCTAATACGTTTTGGTCGAGCATTCTTGAAATGTCACGTGTAGTGTAAATAGGGCTAAAATTAAATATGAATTTATTCAAAATAGCGCGCAGACATCCTGCATTCTGACAGATGTATAACCTTTTACCACATAATACAGATTTAATTTGTAATTATTTGAAATTCATCCTTTTGCATAGACTAAAATTATAATAAAAGTATGTTTCAATGAATATCTTTCTCTAGTGAACACCTCTTCTTATCAAATATTCCTCTGACTTCTGTATGACATTGCCTCTATGGAGTAAACATATCTACTAACTGGGAACACATTTTTGGGCTCAATATGTGTTCACTGTACACATGTTTTACTGTAGTTGCATCACATAACCCTATAACTCTTATTCAAATAAAGAACAATCTTAAAATCAAATTTTGCATTTTCGTATTTCAAGATACACTCCACTTACCTTTTGGATAGACTAAAGAGGGAAGAACAATCCGCGGTCCATACCATTATATGTATTTAGCTCTATCTTCAGCAAATAATTTTACTTCAAATAATCAAGTTACAGTAAAAAATGACCATGTCAGGTGATGGATCCACACTAGTAGGCACTACGAAAGGCAAATACCCTATACTGAAATGAAGTTGACTATTATTTTCATGAGTTACCATGCATAAGTTGGATTGCAGTACAAACTGAGAAAAGAAGCTTAAAGAGTGGTCCTACATACATCTCAGAATTTGAATTTTGTACTTTTACTATGTTTCATTTTTCAGAATACTTTACAAAAGAGATTTGACACGCTCGCTCCTCTAAAGTGTAGTTGTAAAGAGATATATTACATGGTGATATAAACCTAACCTTGTGTCTGAAATTATTTGATATATTAGTAAAACAAGTTTTATTATATGGATGTGAAATCTGGGATCTTCTGAAAAATAAAGAATTTGGCCTTGAAATGAAATATGACAAGTCACTTCCACAGGAATTACTACATCCATCTTTTTTGAAGTTTTTATTAGGGGTGCATAGAAAAACGAGTAATTTAGCTATGATGGGTGAATTAGGTAGATTCCCTCTGTTTATCAATATATTTTACCAACAAATTAAATACTTAGATCATATAGAAATTGAAGGAACGAGTTCATTACTAATTAATGCATATGCAGATAACATTGAACTATCAAAAGTTCATAATCAACCATCATGGTACTCTGACATTGATAGAATAATGACATATGTTCAACCACAAGATACAAATTACATGAATAGCTAACCGCTTGATATTTAAGAAAATCCTTGAAGAGATATATAAAATATTGGGAGAAAACTGTCAATGATAATAAATGGAAATTAGAATTTTTGAATAATATCAAACAACGATGGGGAAAAGAACCATATTTGGATTTAATAAAGAACGCAGAACATAGGAAATCTATGACGCGATTAAGAATAAGTGCACACAATTTTGAAATAGAGTGAGGAAGATAATACAAGACCAAAAATTCTGAAATTATGTAAAATCAACACTGGTACTGAAACTCATTTTATTTTTGAATGCCAAAAATTGGAAAAAATGAGATATGAACACTTTGATACATTAAACTCAATTTGCCCAAATCTAACTGTATTGACTCCCGAAGAAAAGGCTTATTATATGTTTAATGCTGAGGGTAACATGTGTATCACCTTTGCAAAAAAACTTTATGAAATAATTGAAACACGGGGTACCATCGAATAATTTTGGCAACGTACCGGAGAACGACATTTTACTAAGAAATGGCAATAATTTAGCACAATATATTTTTTAACTAGAGTTCTACTTTGATTTTGACAAAAGTAAGTATTCGATGCAATGGCTATTTCATTCATGAGTTTTTAGGAATTCTGTTGGAACCCAGTTCTGATCAAGTAC